TGTTTTAAAAGATTTTTCAAATTTTTCATGTGTGCTTTTGCTTGAATGTATGCATATGTACCACATTCATGCCTGGTGTCCTCAGAGCCAGAAGAGGGCATTGGATCTCCTGAAATGGGAGTTATAGGTGGTTGTGAGCCACCATGTGGGTGCTGGGAACTGAACCCTGTCCTCTGCAAAAACAGCAAGTACTCTTAACCACTGAGTCATCACTCCAGTCCTAAGACATTTGTGTGTGTGTGGCTGCATGTGTAGTACATATTTGCCATGGTGCTCCAGTGGAGGTCAGAGGACAACTTGGAGTCAATTCTCTCCTCCCACCATGGGGGGCCTGGGAATCAAGTTCTGGTTGTCAGGCTTGGCAGCAAACACCTTTACCCACAGACTCGTCTCACTAGCCCAGGTATTTGCCTTTTCATTAGTGACACCAACAGCTCTAACAGTGACCTCCAGGGGCAGGGAGTTGGTGGCGCACGCTTTTAATCCCAGCACTCGGGAGGCAGAGGCAGGCGGATCTCTGTGAGTTCGAGCCCAGCCTAGTCTACAGAGCAAGTGCCAGGACAGCCTCCAAAGCTACACAGAGAAACCCTGTCTCGAAAAACAAACAAAAAACCAAAAATCAAAAAAAGCAGAAAACCCCCAAAAAACAAACCAAAACAAGCAACAGTAACAAAAAAAAAAAACAAACAGTGACCTTGAGTAAGAGGCACAAGGTTCTACAAATTGTGCACAGATACAGAAGTAGTTAACTTTTCCAGCCAAAGAAATCAGGTTTTTATCATGGCCTAGATCCCTTCGACTCCCTCTGTCCTGGTTGAGGGATATTCATTATAGAAGATGAAGATTATCAGGGGATACTTGAAACAGAAATCTAGAAAACAGTGGTAACAGAGTCAGCACTTCCTGCTTATGCAGAGTTTTATCTTTTTAAAACCTTAAAAAAAAATCTAAAAACTGGGTGTTGTAGTGGCTGCCTTCAATCCCAGCACGTGGAGACAGAGGTAACCAGATCTCTAAGCCTGAGGCCAGCCTGGTCTATATGACCAGTTCTAGGACAGCCTGGGTTACATAGTGAGACCTCGCCCAACTCCCCAATTTAATTACATTTATTTATTCTCTGTGTGTATACAGATGTGTCATGCCTGTGTGTAGAGGTCAAAGGACAACTTGGGAGAATCTGTTCTCCTCTTCCACCTTTCATGTCTCTCGGATGCTGGGGATTGAACTCAGGTAATCAGGCTCCACAGCAGGTCCTCTTACAGCTGAGCCGTCTCCCTGGTTCTGGCTCTTTTTTAAAGGACAAGGTCTCCTGGATCACAGGCTGATTCCAAACTCACTAAGTAGCTAAAATGACTTTGAACTTTTTATCAGCGAGTTTTACATTGTGGAGGGTTGAAGATGGAGCTGCGTGGAATCTAGACCAACTCTCTACCAAGATATATTCCCTGCCTGCCAGAGATTTGTGGGTTTGTTTTTTATTACTCATTGGACTCTGGTTTTGTTGTTACTTTAAAAAAAATTAATTCATTTTATGTGCATTGGTGTTTGCCTGCTTGTATGTCTATGTGAGGGTGAGGGGCCCCCTGGAACTGGAGTTACAGACAGTTTGGAGCTGCCTTTTGGTGCTGGGAACTGAACCTAGGTCTTTAGTAAAACAAGCACTTTTAACTGCTGAGCCATCTCTCTAGTCCCAGCCCTCCCTGAGTTTGCTATCTTTCATGCCATCACCACTACCACTCAAACAAATTAATATTTCTCTTGGCAGTTTCTTTCTAGTATCTAGCTCTAAGGAGTCATTAAGGCTTCTCTCTCTTTTTTTGGGGGGGGTTTAGAGACAGGGTTTCTCTGTGTAGCTTTCCTGGCACTCGCTCTGTAGACCAGGCTGGCCTTGAACTCACAGAGATCCGCCTGCCTCTGCCTCTTGAGTGCTGGGATTAAAGGCGTGCGGCGCCCGTCAAGGCTTCTCTTCACTTCTACGCAATGGTATAATTTGATTTTCCAGGACTGGGGGTGTGGCTTGCTTGTACTTGCCTTTCCCATGTAAGTTCAAACCCAAGAATCAGAGAAACAAAACAGATGTCCCTTCTCATCACATGTCAAGACTCATGCTTTCTTCTTACTGCGTGCTATAATGTACTTGCTCCTCTTTTGGGGCAGGGAGGGTGTATCTGTGTGTATGCATGTTCACATGGTGTGAGTCTATGTGCATGCAGAGGCCAGTGGTTGACATTGGGTGCCTTCCTTGATTGCTCTCCACCTTATATACTGAGGCAATCTCTCTCTCCTGGACCAGAAGCTCACTGATTCAGCCAGTCTTGCTAACCAGCTTGCCCATGGGCCCCTTATGGCCACCTCCCAAGTGCAAGGATCACAAGCTACCACGTCCTCCTGGCATCTACCTGGTTACTGTGGATCTAAACTCAGGTCCTCATGCTGGCATGGCAAATATTTTATCCACTGAGCCATCCCCTCAAACCCATGCATTTTCCTGTGTGTATGTGTTGAGACAGTTTCTTTGTGTAGCTATGGCTGTTCTGGAACTCACTCTGTAGACCAGACTGGCCTTGAACTCAAAGAGATCCACTAGTCTCTGTCTCCACTGGCAAGGATTAAAGGCCAGTGCTACCACCACCTGGCCTAAAATCACTTTCAACCTGACAACAGAGAAAGGCAGTTGAGAGAGGGCTGCAGCTACAGCTCAGTCGTGTGCACTCCTAGCATTCATAAAGGCCTGGATTGGATCCCAGCACCTCACAAACCAGGCTAGTGCACACCTATAATCCCAGCACTCAGGAGGTGGGAGCAAAAGGAACAGAAGTTTAAAGTCCTCCTCAACTACATATTCAAGGCTAGCCAGACTACATGAGACTCTGTCTCAAAACAGAAAAAAAAAAAAAAAAGAACATAGAAATTTGAAAATGGGTAACAATGGAGTAGCGATATAGTTCCAAACTGTCTCCTAGGACACCTGGCTCCTCAGTTCTGGTCTCATAACTCACACTAAATAACAAACACTGGAAACAGGATTCTCCATATGGCACTGGGTAAATTACTAAACCTCTTTCTGCTTTTGATCTCCCATCTGTCACATAAGAACAATACTCCCTGTTTTTTGTTTTTTTGTTTTTTTTTTTTTTAAGGCTGCTATGAATATAAGAACAGGAGAACCTTCTTTATTGAAAAAAGAATAGCACTGTACTAAAATAATACTAGAAAACCAGGCAAGGTAAGTTCCTATAAACCAAAGATCTGGTACCTGATGTTAATCAAACAATTCCCTATGTAGGAGGAGCTTAGTACATACGAAATCTGAGGGAGCATTGTTATCACAAGTCGAAGGGCATGAATAAAAGTGTCCGTGCTGGGGGCTGGAGAGATGGCTCAGAGGTTAAGAGCACTGACTGCTCTTCCAGAGGTCCTGAGTTCAATTCCCAGCAACCACATGGTGGCTCACAGATCTCCATTATGAGATCTGGTGCCCTCTTCTAGTGTGCAGATATACATGGAAGCAGAATGCAGATATACATGGAAGTATACATAATAAATAAAATAAAATCTTTTAAAAAAAAAAGTGTCCGTGCTGGAGTAGCATTGTGGATATTACAACCAAGCCAAATTATGAGACTTATTGCACTTACTGTACTTAAGAATAGCCCCAGATGAGGATGCCAGTGTGTGCCTGTAATCCCAACCCTTGGGAGGTGGAAGCAGGAGGATCAGGGTTCCAAAGCTAGCCTCAGCTACACAGCGATGAATACCTTGAATCCCACCCAGTATTTAGAAGGCAGAGACAGGAGGATCTCTTCCAGGAGTATGAGGTCAGTCTGGTCTACAGAACGAGTACCAAGGCAGCTAGGGCAACACACAAAGAGAAAACAAAAAAATCAAACAAACAAGAAAGGTCAACCTGAACTGTATGAGACTCCATCTCATTAAAAAACAATATAAGTACGGGCACTTGCAGCAATGCCTGTGGACTGGTGTTCGAGACCCAGGACCCACAGACTGGAAGGAAACTGCTGATTCCTACAAGTTGCCTTCTGATCCCCGCACAAGCCATGAAAACTAATGCCCCCACAGTACAAAATAAAGAAATAAAATGTAACTTTAAAGGGGGGTAGAAAAAGGGAAAATAAAAGAATATCCCATTCTGCTCCTCATGTCTTCGGGAAAGTTGAGATGTGCGCCAGGACAACCCTTTGGCTCGATGCCCTTATTGGATTTCATAAGTCGTCTACCCTCTAGCTAGCATTCCAGAGCTCTGAAAGATTAGGATCTGCACCTGATCCCTGCTTCGTACCTGCTACCTTGGGCTGTCAACCTGGACTAAAGCACGTACTGTTTTCCATTCCTTTCTACATCGCACTACTTGGAGATACCCAAAGCAGATGGAACAGGACACTTTTGGCCTAAGCTCGATTTCCCTGCTTCTTTTCCTCCCCCCCCACCTCCTTTTTTGTGGAGGAGAGAGGGTCTCAAGTATCACTAGTTGGCCTTGAACTCCCGATCCACCGGCCCCTCAGTGCTGGGACTGCAGGCGAGTGCCACAGTATTATGCAGTGCTGTGGATGGAAATTCGGGGCTGAAGCGTGTTAGGCAAGCACTCTGCCGACCGAGATACATCGCATCCCCTGCTGAAGTTCCCTTTAAAGGGCTCTGTCGATTTCTGGCCCTTTAAGTCCCTCCTCCACCCCACCCAGTTCCTCTCAGTTCTCCACACTTTCACTCTCCCCACCTGCAGTTGCCTTAGCCTCCTCCCTCGGGGAGTCTCTCCTCCTGTCCTTCTACAGCCCCCGTCCTAAGCTCCGCAGCGCGACTCCACCTCGCCTTCCGTCCCCCTGCGCGCGCGGCCCCCTTCCCCCACCACACGTCTCCGCAGCGGGCGACCTTGTGCCACCACGTCCAATACCGGGGTCCCCCCCGCCCGCCGGCCTCCCGGACCGCTCCAAGCTCCCGCGGGTTCCCTTCACCGCAAACCCGCTTTCCCCGGATCCACTCACAGGAGGCCGGAGCAGGTGGTGCAGACGAAGCTGCCCACAGTGATGTCCACATAGGTGACCCCGCGCTGGGCGCACTCGAAGCAGTGGCGGTTCCCGGCCTGGCTGCAGCCGCCCAGCTCGCGCACTCGGCGGCACCACACCTCCGAAGCCGCTTCAGCCTCCGCTTTGCTCCCTCCGACCCCGCCGCCTGGGCCCGGGCCCTTCTTAGCCGCCATCACCATCTCTCTCCCGGGCTCCCCTGCAAGTCAGCGGTCGCTCGTCTTTCCCCGCTCGCAGCCTTTCCCGCCTCCGCCGCCTTCGCACGCCCGGGAGCCCTGACACCAGCTCCCGCAGCCCAGAAGGCGAGAGACTCCGCCGCCCCCTTCCTCATCTCGTTCTGCGTGCTGATTGGCTAGCCCCTTCCCACCTCCCCGCTCTGATTGGCTCCAGCCTCTTCCATTGGTTCCCAAAGACCCCCACTGTGCAAGTACCGTGCGTGCCCTCCTCCTTGTCCCCGCCCCCTCTCGCCACGGGTTCCTATGCTGACTCTTATTGGTTGTTAAGGTTGCAAAATTAGCGTGCGAGAGGAAGGAGGTGTTCCGCGCATGCGCGGTGCTCATCCTCCGGACTGGTACTAATTCCCGCCAAATTTCAAAGGGTTGTTTCAGACTGAGCCAAGCAAAGCAGAAAGGAAGAGGCCCTTGAAGGGACTGAAGCAGAAAGGGAAAGACAGAGAAGGGGAGAATGAGTGCTCTATAAAAGGTGGATTCCCCACTACAAAGTTAAAAGCTTGAGGTGGGATACCAAAGATAGCTTAAGGGGTGAGGGCACTCTCTCTCTCTCTCTCTCTCTCTCTCTCTCACACACACACACACACACACACACACTCATATATGCAAAAAATTATGTAAAAACTATTCAAGAAAACATGTTGAAGTGTATCACAGAACTGGTTTGTGGCTCCGTCAGAATTTGACTCTGATTTTAAATACTCTGCTCTGGGGATGTAGCTCAGTGGGTAGAGTGCTTGCCTGCCATACACTGAGCTCTGGGTTCAACCCCAAGACAACCTAGAGTGATGCCACAGGTCTCTAATTCCAGCATTTGGGAAGTGGAGTTTTAGAGACCTACGGTCATCCTCAGTGATGCCTGGAAAAGGAAAGATTGAAAGTGAGGAGGGTTGGGGTGTTGACAGCCATAAATCAGTAGTTTTGTTTCAGGCATGTCACTGGAATGACTTTGTGAAGCCTCCAGTGTGCTAGTGGGCTGATGAAGAGGTGGGTAAGTACAGGTCTGATTCCAGGAGAGGCCAGAGCCAGAGACAGGTTCAGGAGTCAGCAGTACACAGGAGTTACGTAGAGCCACAGACTAGATGAAGTTGCTTACATGTTACATAGAGATGAAAACTAGAAAGTACAGGGCTGGGGAGTTGGCTGTCAGTGAAGTGCTGTCCATGCAAGCTTGAGGACCTGAGTTGGATACCCAGAACCCATGTAAAAGCCAGTTGCACCTCTAAACGTAGAGCTGGGGTTGCAGAGACAGGATGATCCCTGGGACTTGATGGCCAACCAGTCTAGCCAAATCAGTGAGCTCAAAAAAAAAAAAAAAAAGTGAAAAATGATTGAGGAGCTGGTGTCGACCTCTGCCTTTCAAATTCTTGTACACATGAGCGCGCGCACACACACACACACACACACACACACACACACACACACACACACGAATAAAGAACACAAGACATCCAAATGTAAGAGAGTAGGCTGTTTACTCTATTCCAACTCACCAATTGTCATAGCCACAAATACACTTCATCCCTGAAAGGAGGTGACACTAAGTCCCATCCGGATATGCACGGAGAACATCTTTGTTCATTTAAAACATTGCTGCAACATGGTGTGCACTCACTCATACATGGATTTTACACATAGAGCACAGGATCACCAGCCTACAATCCACACTGCCAGAGAAGCAAGGAAACAAGGAGGATCCTAAGAGAGACATACATGGTCCCCCAGAGAAGGGGAAAGGGACAAGATTTCTTGAGCAAATTGGGAGCATGGGGGAAGGGGAGAGGGAGCTAGGAGAATGCAAAGGGGAGAAAAGGAGGGGTGAGGAGGACATGATGGGGCAGGAAGGTTGAGTCAGGGAAAGAATAGAGGAGAGCAAGATAAGAGATATAATACAGGGAGCCATTATAGGTTTAAAGAGAAATCTGGCACTAGGCCAATGTCCAGAAATCTACAAGGATGACCCCAACTAACAATCTAAGCAACAGTGGAGAGGCTACCTTAAATGTCCTCCCCTGATAATGAGATTGATGACTGTCTTATATGCCATCCTAGAGCCTTCATTCAACAGCTGGTGGAAGTAGAAGCCGACACCCACAGCTAAACACTGAACTGAACTGGAATCCAGTTGCAGAGAAGGACGAATGAAGAGCAAAGGGGTCAAGACCAAGCTGGTGAAACCTACAGAAACAGCTGACCTGAACAGGGGGAGCTCATGGCCCCCAGACAGATCACTGGGAAACCAGCATAGGACTGATCCAGACCCCATGAATGTGGGTGTCAGTGAGGAGGCCTTGGAAATCTATGGGGCTTCTTGTAGTGAATCAGTACTTATCCCTAGGATAGGAATGGACTTTGGGAACCCATCCAACATGGAGGGATACTCCCTGAGCCAAGACACATGGGGGAGGGCCTAGGCCCTATCCCAAAGGATAGGAGAGACTCTGAAGCCCCCTATGAAAGGCCTCACCCTCCCTGGGGAGCAGAAAGGGTATGGGATAGGTAGGGTGTTGGGGGGGGGAGGGGAGGAGGGAACTGGGATTGACATGTAAAACAATCTTGTTTCTAATTTAAATTTTTAAAACGGAGGAAAAAATATAACACTGCTGCATTGTATGATTGTACCAAGTGGACCTCTATAAGTTCGAGGCCAGCCTGGTCTATGTAGTGAGTTTCAGGCCATCCAGGGCTACATAGTGAGACCCTGTCTCAAAGAAAAGAAAAGAAGCACTTCGCCTGTGATGTCCATCCCTTTCTCAGTTTCTCTTTAGCCAACAGTTATTTCTTCACCTCTTGGAATGTTAAACAAACAGTACACGTACCCACCACCAATAGCAAATGAAAAATAAATTAGGGTTCCACTGGACTCTGATAGCTTTCAGTCAGTCTTTTGCTACAGGGTGTGGTCTGCAAGAGCAACCAAGGGGTGCTTCCTCCTCTCTCCTCCTGACTACTCCACCCAGGCCATATCAGAGAGTAACAACCCTATTTCCCTCTCACAATCAGCAAGAGCACAGACAGCCCCAGGGACACCCTCTTCTGCTATTTCCCTGCCTTGGTTGCTTCCCTGGTAGAAGCCCTTTGGCCTTGGGGAGTTAAGCTGATAGAACCTGGGTGATTTGGAGGGTGGTAAGCAAACATTTCAAAGAGCATCACAGTGCAACTGGAGGGGTGGCTCAGCACTAGGAACACTTACTGCTCCTCCAGAGGATTCAAGTTCAGCTCCCAGTACCCACACAGGTGACACACAACCACTATTTCTATAGCTCCAAGGGATCCATCCTTCTGTCCTCAAGGCACCGGCTCACATGTGGCATACACACACACACACACACACACACACACACAGAGAGAGAGAGAGAGAGAGAGAGAGAGAGAGAGAGAGAGAGAGAACAGTAATGGTGAGAGCTTTCCAGACCTTTGTTATTCCACTTCTATCTTGGCTGGGGATGAATTGACACTCCATGTCAGTCAATGGATCACATATCCCCATTAGCAAGAGAAAGGTCCAGCCTCACAGGTGTGGTCTGCCAGATACCACTAGATCAGTTTTCAGGGACCATGCCATTGTCATTATTTGGCCAGCTGCTTCTGGTGCACAGGAAATACGATAAGGGCCTTGCCCTGTCAACTGCCTTTTTTCTTCTTCTGTGCTTGTGTGCATGTACTCGTGTGTGTGTGTGTGTGTGTGTGTGTGTGTGTGTGTGTGTGTGTGTGTGTTCTTACCAGAGATCAACCTCAGGTGTCCCTTGGGTGCCAGGCACCCTGTTTTTGAGATAGACTCTTTCACTGGCCTGGGGAATATTGATTATGCATAGGCTGGCAGTAAGCCCCAGGGATCCCCCTGTCTCTGTGACCCAGGACTGGGACCACAAACTTCTATCACTACACCTGGCTGGGGGGGCTGAATTTAGGTTCCCATGCCTGTTAACTCTAACACTGCTGTAACTTACTGTCTGTAGACAGTTTCCAATCTGCCATATGGACAAGGAGACACAGAATCTGTGTGGGTCCCACCTGAGTCTCAAGAGTTGAGTCTTGGAAGCCGAGACAGTTTGAGTTTGCAGAGCTAGGTGTTGGAAGAGGAGAAACATCAGGAGGAAGGAAAAGATGAGAGAGAGAGAGAGAGAGAGAGTGAGAGAGAGAGAGAGAGAGAGAGAGAGGAGGAGGAGGAGGAGGAGAAGGAGGAGGGGAACAGAAGGGGGAGAAGGAGGAAGTAGAGGAGGAAGATGAAGAAGGAGAACAAGGAGGGGAGAAGAGGAGGGGAGAGGGGAGAAGGGGAGGGGAGGGAGATTCCCGGTCACTTGTGCGCCTTCTCTTGGGTCACCAGCTGTGTCCTCATCAGCACGTGTTATACAGAAACTAAAGTCCAGATAACGAGCTATGGAAAAGCATGACTGGGAATAGCTCGCATTCCTAGCAGCCAGAGTGCTGAGACTTCCAGAGACACAGGCTGCACTGCAGCCAGATTAGCTCCAGACCAAAGGTGACTTGGTCTCCACACACAAAACTTAAAAGCAAGCTCCAAGGAGAACCACACACAGCCAGAACTGACCTCAGCCGATTGAGTCCTTGTCTAGGAGGCAGAAAGCTTCGGTCTGATTCTCATCACATCACATAGCACAGATGCAATAGTGCATGCCTGTAATCCCAGCATTCCAGAGGTAGAAGTGAGAGGATCAGGTAGTTCAAGGTCAAGCTCAGCTACAGAAGACACTGTCTCAAAAATAAACAAACCAACCAACCAAACAAAACTAAAAGGAAGGCTAAAAGTAACTTCTACAAATGAAACATATTGTCTAAAATGAAGACTAAAATGGATAGGATTGAACACATAATAGACACAGAAAATATTATGATTCATAATAGAAACTGTCTACAAAACCAAAATATGCTGAGAGGCTTACCCAGAAATGGCCTTGTATACATGCCATCTCAGCAGTTAGAAAACAGAGGTAGGAGGAATCAAAGTTCAAGGTCATCCTCAGCTACACAGGGAGTTTGAGGCTAGCCTAGGCTACATGAGATCATATCAGAAAAGAAAAAAAAGAAAAGGAGAAAATAATAATTGTCATTGAGGATAGTGAGAAACAGAAGTCTTTGTATAT